CGCGAGCCCCCGGGCCGCGCGGGGGGACGGTCCCGCCTGCGCCTATCAGCGGCGCGGGGCCGGGCTGAGACCTCGGGGTGCCCACCGAGTCTACGCTGCCGGCTCCCGGGAATTCTCCTAGATCCGGTTTTTAGTTCGGGCGGGGAGATGGAGACCTGAAGCGAGGGGCAAAGACTCGGGAGAGAGGTGTGGAGAGGTGGCGGGCCCCGAGGGACCAGCATCGACGAGGTGACCCCCATGCACACACCCACACTCGCTCGCCACCGCTTTGGTGTCTCTCACTCCGTCCCACGGAGAGGTGTCTCTGCCATCCCCCACCCCGGCATACAGGGGAAACGGAACGGGCTTCTTACAGACGGAAGATTTTCGGAACACCAACAAATCGCCTCTCCGATCTTAAAAGCTCCAAACTGCCTGTCAAGCGAATGCTGTGCTAATCTGAAGAAGCTTTACTTTAATTGCAAAGAAGACAGGGCTCTGAGAAAGCAGACTGATAAATTAGATAATCGAGAAGCAAGTGGGCCCGTCACAAGCAAATTACCTTGACTTTAAACGAACAACTGCTTGGTGGTTCACTCTGGATTTATACTCGAATAAAAAGTCGCCTCGGATCACGTTCTCTGTAATGCTTATTAGTCCCCAGACAGAAAACACACAATAGAATAGAAACCCTAACCCAGCATTTTCAAAATACTGAAAGCTTATCCATTCTACTTAACGTTGATTAAGATACATATCCTAGATCTTTCAAATTCCTTGTACACTGTATTAAGCTTGTCCTAACCCGAGAGAGAGCGCCACGCTTTAAATTCGACTCTCTTGTTTACTTTATTACCAATCAGATTCAAATCCATAAAGCCCGTAGAATCAACAACCTTGAGCTAATTATATATAAAATATGCTTTAATGAACTTCCCTACAATTAAGAATGTTGCCAAATAACCAATTTCAAGGGTAATTTTAAAATCATTTTCTTTTCCTAGGTAGCTCAAAGCTGTCTTGAATCCTTAAAGTCCAAGCAAGCAGAGGCCGTAGTGTGTGGGTGAAGGGGGAAAAAAAACCTCCGAGACCGCCCAGCTGGGAAAAGCAAAGCCTTATTCAATTTACATAAAGCAGAGAAAAAACAACTTCAGGGACAGCCAACTCTTTACAGTCTCATTTCCAAAGAGAGTTTATTTCCAGAGAAATTAAGGAAAGAAATTCAAACATATACAAAAATAATTTTTTGAAAGTCCCTTTGTCCCCCGACTTTGGTCAGCTGGAGAGCACAAACTAATCTCCTCTGGGTTTCTGCATTGGCGATTGCTTTATTGTGGAGTTAGTGTTATCGTACCTGAATGTGTATTTGTTTGACATTACAGTCAATGATTTGCAACACCAGTCTGAGGTATCTTCAGAAAACTCCCTCCTTGTCCTTGTTCGTGAGATTGGGAAACTTCAGTCTGGGGCAGAGTGGATGGATAGAGAGGACTACAAAAATGCTGGCGACCTGGGTCTCTCCCCTTTGCCCTGCTCTCCCGCCCCGCCTATCTGTAACTAACTGCGCCCTTACTGCAAATGCACTGGGTGGACAACGGGCCGGATGCCCCCAAATCAGAATTGCTCTTCAGTCTCTCCCATGAGAGCCATCCCCTTTAAGTTGAATTTAGCTACAAGGGGAAACTTTCTTCACAGTCAGCTCTAAATCAGCATTTCTGGTTACAACCTTGTATTTCAGTCCACTCCCTTCTGCACGGCCATACACCTGGTCAGAGCGAACACCGCCAGGTGCTGGGGTAGGTGCTGGGTCTGCGTGCGCCGAGGCTCGCTCATCTCGCTCTATTAGGTCCTGCAATCTTATCACTAAATTATACATATTATGCCAGCAGTCTGTTGGTAAAGAAGGTTAAATTAATTTGCATTCTGCTCATTATCTGGTGCTTAAATGACGCGTTTTATCCCTAAGATTTAGCGGAGAATCTCCTTCGCAGACCCCACAGCATTTTACTGAAGACAATGCTCTTACATTTGTAGTGGTTTTTAATCTGATAAGACTCTAATTTGCTTAAGTCTTTTAAATAAGGGTTTTAAATGTTTCTAGCCGTTTTCTTATTGAATTTCCTCTAATTCCCCCAAGATCATAAAGTATATGTGTGAAGTAAATATTTCCTCCCATTGCACTGCCAGCCGATGACCTATAACTAAGTCAATACGAATCTAACCCTTTTCTGCCAAATGTATTTACTAATCATATTCTAATCTTTTTTTTTTAATTTTAAACCTCAGAGTAGCTATGGTATCTCCACAACACTATGCCCTGAAAACTTCATTTCACGAAGCAACTCTCCCATACCAAAGAGTCAATGACTTTCCGCCATAGTGACCAGGCATATCTTTTCCTTATTTCTCCGACATTCATATCCCAAAGGTACAATTTGGGGCTGGGGTGACTTGGACGTTTTTCAAAACTCCATACTTGGGAGAGCTGATGTTTCCTAAGTCCATTCCTCATTTACCTATAGAGTTTTGATTTCTTTCGGCTCAGTGGCTCTTCGCCCACCCTGGCAAATACGTGTGTAGAAAAACCCTTAACCAGCCTCCAAATTGGGTGCAACACCCAAGGGCAAGGGAAAGCTCCTCACAGACCAGAGTGCGGGAGATTCAGTTAGTGCTGGTGATTTTTAGGGGGTTTAAAGCCTAAAAAGATAAGGAATCTTAACAGTATATAGATCCTTGCATACTCTAGTGGAGAATCAAGGCCAGTATCTAGAGAACACTCACTGGTGAGAATAAAAACAATTATCAAGCTACTTATAATCATTGTCCATCTACCTACCTAGCCATACATACATTAATACACCTCCTCCAAGCGTTCGGAAACAACTGAGCCAGTGAGACCTCCCCCTGCATTTTCCCAGCCAGTTCCAACTTTCTCCTAAACATCTACTCATTTTTGCACAGGCTGAAATTGGATGACAGCCTCCCCAGGCCCAGCAGGGAAGCCAGGGCTCACCCCAAGCAAGGCAGAAGTCCTGCAGTGCCATGAGTCTAGATGGGGACAGGAGAGGCTGTAGTGAGGAGCCAAGCAATGCTTTTCCATGAAAACTGTCCTGTGTCCAGAAATTTTGGAAACTGATCGTACAAAAAATTGTGC